CAAAGTAAGTTGCAGGATAATAATGTGCAATATGATCTTGTTTTTGTACAAGTAATATAATAAAGTAATAAAAGTAATATAAGTATGCATGCATGGGTATGCACAGGCACACACATGCCCCTCTACATATAAAGTCTGCAAAGATGGACATCAAATTGTGAACACTATCTCCACTGGTAAATGGACTGAAAGTATAGGAGAGGAATGGGCTTGCCCTTTTTACTTTGTACACTTATTCCTTTGATTTTTAATATTTACAATAAGCATGTGTTAATTTTGTATTAAAACTGTTTTGTGTTTTGGGGTTTTTTTTTAATTTTTTAAGTACGCTCCACACCCCACATGGGGCTTGAACTCATGACCCTGAGATTAAGAGTCACACGCTCTACCAACTGAGCCAGCCAGGCGTCCCTATATTAAAATTGTTTATGAAAAAGAGGAAAGTCACACGGTGATAAACGATTAAAAGGAGGCAGTTCACAACTGCTGATCTAAACTTGCCCAGAAAGGATCAAAACAGTCATAGAACAGCACCTCCCTTCCCCAGTCGGAGACACCCCTCAGTCCGCCATCACTGGAAGGGCCCACAGGCATCTGCTCCCATAACCAAAATCTGTGTGGGTCATGACCGAAGCCTGGGAGATTAGAACTTTGGATAATGAGGAAGCAATTGGCCACGTTTCATAACATAACAAACTACACGTGTATCTAAACATTTTGATGAGTTTTGACCTATGTACACAAACCTATGAAACCATCACTACAATCAAGATAGTGAAAATGCTCATCATCCCCGAAAGTTTCCTCGTGCCCCTTCATAATCCTTCCCCCGCCCCCAGCAACCACTGATCTGGCTGCAGAATGTTTAAGTCACAACTGATATTTATTTTCTAGCAAAAGCTCACAGATGTTACTGGAAAATACTCATAGTTACACTTAGTACTCAACTAACAGGTGCTTTCTTCTTTGTCATGATAGTTTCTCAACTCCAAGTTTAAATTGTGCCAGTCCTTGAATCTAGTTAAAGTGCATAGGGCCCGTGGGTGGGGGGATGGGGTAACTTGTTGGGATGAGCCTGGGTGTGATATGCAACTGATGAACCACTAAATTCTACCCCTGAAACTAATAATACACTGTATGTTTACTAAATTGAATTTAAATTTTAAAATGTTTTTAAAAGCTGTATACGGCCCTACTTTGCTCTTGAAAAATAGATCTACAAAGGTTTATGCTGTCCCCCATACAATCCCTGTTCTTAACCCTGGTTAAACCAAACAAACATTCAAAAACCAATCTGCTCTAAATGAGATATATTATTTAGTAGATACAGTTATATACTTTCCGCATATTTATACATAGGAATAAACCTATATCTACTTAAAAAAATGGACTCACCGAGATCAAGTTGTCAGTTATTAGGCCATGACAACATTGATTCTCTAGCACATCCTAATTGGCCCTTTAAATTCCCCTTTCATAGATCTGTGCTAGAGATGGTAGAATTCACTGACAATTTTCCCTTCATTTTCACCCATCGCTGTCAGCGGCACGGATCACTTTATTCGACGAAGGTTTGAGAGCCTCGTTATCAACCAAGCCCGGTTGGCAAGGAATGCCATAGTTATGCCTCCATAAATTATAAAAAGCTGAATTTTAATAAAAAGTTTAACTCTTCTCACATTCTCTTAATGTTCCACCATGACCTCCCCAGTCCCACACCTCCCACATGCCCACACCTTTCTTCTAGTCCTTGCGATTAAAAGCAACACTTCTGAGAAAGCTTATTCTTTAACACCTTTGCAAAGGCGAACGAGAGCTCCTCCAGCCTTCAAAAATGATGGTCATTCAATAACGTTTACACAGCATGCATTCCAGCAGTATCTCGTGTACACAGGCATTTCACTCAACCCGCTCCCAGGGCCAGAACGTTTCTAGCAGATTCGCAGAGAAAAAGACTGCTTTCTCTAGTCATCTGTTCACCTCACCTTTCTTGTCTCTATACCTGGTGGCGAAGCTGACCAAACAGCAGCAGGATAAGAGAACAGAGAAAAGAAACCGGTCTTGAGATGTTCTCACAAGCTTAAAATGGCTCTTTTGACCAGCAGTGAAAATTCCAGAAATTCTGCTGGGTCTGCATCCAAAGCCACTCCAATACCTTCTTTCAGAAAGAGTCCTCTGCTATGTCTTGGGGCTTTTTTTTTTTTAAAGATTTTTATTCATTTTATTTGACAGAAAGAGAGACAGGGAGAGAGGGAACACAAGCAGGGGGAGTGGGTGAGGGAGAAGCAGGCCTCCCGCAGAGCAGGGAGCCCGATGCGGGGCTCCATCCCAGGACCCTGGGATCATGACCTGGGCCGAAGGCAGACGCTTAACGACTGAGCCACCCAGGCGCCCCCATGTCACGGGGCTTTTAGATCAGAAGTATAACTTTACAACTTTAAAAGCATTTCAGTCATAAGCAAAGTATGCGCTATTCCTCCTCTCTCGCTTTTCCTCACACTCATAAATATTTGCTATCAGAGTGCTAGCAAAGGCCATGTCAACGAGGCAGGTTTTTTTAAAAACAGTGAAAAAAAAATGGGACCATCTGCACAACTGCATATCGTCTTTCAAAGTAGTTCTTTGCTGCCTTTCTGTTTCCTTCCAGGCCTTTGAACCTTTAAAGTTGGTCATTTTGAACGCATTTAAGATGGATAAGGTTCTATCAACATATTTATAGTCAGTGGGGCAGCCAAATGTATTTGGGTCAAAGCCACCTAGCCAGTTTCCAGTTTCCTGGCTAGTACAGAACCCAGGGACTCTTGACCAAAGAGAAATATTCCCTGGCTCTCCAGTTGAGAGGTCCTAGATAAACATTCACGTGTTTTGACACACCATTAACCCAAACAGCAATTTTCAAACTGAGGCTGACCATATGCTCTGATCTTGACAAAATTAAAAATCACATCATTAAAATGAATGGCACTCAGTATTGCAGTAACAGAAAGAGAGCCAATACGGGACCCGTCAAATGACTACAAATCAAGATGATCCCAGAGGGTTTATTGGGGCACTGGGGGCTTTGGGGACAGAGAGAAAGGGACTTCTGGGGACCCACAGCCACGCAGCAATGATAAATTAGTGACCACTGAATTCCGGAGTCCTGCTGAGGGAGAATCTCTTCTACCAGCACTCAAAGAAAATCTGCTCTAAGGTAGAGTTTAGTTCGACCATTTTTCTTTATTATTAAGTTTCAGGTGTATAACACTGTAATTTGACATCTGTTTGCACTACAAAGTGATCACTCCCAAAAGTCTAATTACCATCCATCACCCTACACTTGACCCCCCTGTACCCCTTTTGCTCATCCTCCATCCCCCTTCCCCTCTGGTAACCACTGATCTGTTCTCTGTATCTATGAATTTGTTTTTGCTTTGTTTTGTTTGTCTTCGTGTGGCTTGGTTTTTAGATTCTACGTATGAGTGATATCATAGAGTATTTGTCTTTCTCCTTCTGACTTATCTCACTTAGCATAATATCCTCTAGGTCCATCCACGTTGTTACAAATGGCAAGATCTCATTCTTTTTTACGGCTGAGTAGTATTCCTGTGTGTGTGTGTGTGTGTGTGTGTGTGTGTGTGTGTACGTATCTTCCATATCTTCTTTATCTATTCATCCCTCAACGGACATTTAGGTTGTTTCCCTATCTCGGCTACTATAAATGATGCTGCGATAAATATAGAGGTGCATATATCTTTTTAAATTAGTGTTTTCATATTCAGGTAAATATCCAGTAATGGACTGGCTGGGTCATATGGTAGTTCTAGTCTTAATTTTTTTGAGGAAATCTCCACACTGTTTTCCACGGTGGCTGCACCAACTTACATTCCCACCGACAGTGCACAAGGGCTCCCTTTTCTCCACATCCTGGCCAACACTTGTGATTTCTTGCCTTTTACACTAGCCATTCTGACAGGTGAGGTGTGAGGTGATAGATAGCTCACGGTGGTTTTGATTTGCATTTCCCTAATAGTACAGGAAATTCTGACCCTGAACTGAAGAAACCTGGATTCCTGTTAATTCATCTCTTTGGGCAACTTAATTTCCTGTTTTCGTTTCCTTATTTTGAAAGCTCATACTAATGGTTCCTTGGTGTGATAATGTTTGTAAAAGCAAAGAGTTTCTAAAACTGATAAAAATTAATCAGGGCGCCTGGGTGGCTCAGTCGGTTAAGCATTTGACTCTTGATTTGGGCTCAGGTCATGATCTCAGGGTCATGAGATCGAGCCCTGCACTGAGATTCTCTCTCTCCCTCTGCCCCTCCCCCACTTGTGTGCACATGCTCTATCTTAAATAAATACATAAATAAATAAAACCAATAAAAATAAATTAACCTAAGGAAAGATTTGTGTTAGGCCTTTCCATGCGAATGCATTTACATAATGCTATATATTGGTGAGGACAGGAGCATGGGAGGAAGCTGTTTTTTTATTTCTTTTTTAATTTGGAGGCGGGCGCTATTTTTTTTAAATATGCACAGGACAGTGAGCAGACCCAGCTGACTGATCCTGTGGTCTTTGGCCCCTTCTTCAGCACCAGAAACATTCTTGTTGTAAAACAACCCTTTCCAGCCAGGAACACCACTTCATATCTTGGATTAATATACTATAACGCTACTGAGGCAGACTTGTTGCTTTCTCTCCTTCACGTTACAAAATAAGAGCTACCAGGGATTTAAAGCAACGTGGCTGGGAATCTTTTTGCCTCACTCACTGAACAGTCAGGGCATGATTTGTGGGAAGTGCATCTCATGGTGTAACCAATGTTTTCCTTCTCAGGGTTACCTTCCCATCTGAAAAGGACCGTCAAAATCCCTGCCCGCCAGTCGCCACCTACAGGGGGAAAGCAAGCCTTACATGGGACTGGGCTTTGTACAACTAAGCAGTTATTTCCCCACCTTTCAATAATCTCGAGGTGAACTTATTTGAATACAAGTCCTACAGAAGAGGATATTCCCCAATACCTTATGGCGAAAATGTGATCAAGGAAGGAACGATTGGAGAAGCCACAGTTCACATGAGCTCGTCACGGTAGCCTGCTACGTTGTAGCATCTGGACCACCGAACGCTGTAAGAGAGAAAGGCGGACAAAGTCAAAAGCAGATGAAATGGTTTGAAAAAATAAGGCACCTGTATATTTACGACTTTGGGCACAGACAGCGCTGAGATTTACATAGTTGTGCTTACAGACCATCACGATCTGGTTTTTGTACCCGTTTTTTTGTTTTTGTACCTGTTTAATAGCAATTCCAGATATCAACGTGGTCAACACACTTCTCATTTTTCGTGGCCACCGCAAATTTCTGCAGAAATTCTATATAGAAAGAAACTCTATAGAGAAATGCTGGAGAGACTTACTTTGTATTTGGTTGGCTATTCCCCCGTCTCCAGGGATTTGCATTTTCCAATTAGTCTTTTTGACTGAAAGAGCACTCTTTCCAAAGGGGTACCACTGCTACTCTATACTACAAGTACGGGAAAGAGAACCACTATGAACATCTTTGTACACGTCTCTTAACACATCATTTCCTCAAAACATGTTACCATGTTGGAGGGCAGGAATGGGCTTATATAGCTCATGACATATTATATAGCTCATGCTCTTGTGAAAGATGATGACAATTTATCATGACATCAGTAGTATTAAAGGGCCCACCTGAAGTGACTTGAGTTTGCATTTCGCTTTTTATGAAATTAAATAAAAATTAAAGGTTGGCTCCAGCCCACACTGATAATCCACAGCCTGTTCGAGGTCTCCAACCTGAAGGTCCCGTTCGCATCCCAAGCTAACAAGTGCAACAGAACTCTTAAGTTCCATGCCCTGCCCCACAACCTGCTCTCCGCCTCCACTTGCCCCCCACCCACCCAGTGATTCCCATCTCCCTAACCAGAGCCACCCTCCTCCCAGGTGCTCAGGCGCGAAATCAGGAGCTGGCCCTCCCTTCCCCTCACATTCGACCCTTGAGCCAAGTCTTCCTGACCCCACCTTTACCACATTCCAAGGCTAGGTCCACCATTGCCGCCGGGTCCAAGCCAGAGCCATCTGGAACCTGGATTACTGCCACAGCTTCCCAACTAGTCTCTCCTGCTGTCCTTGCTCCCATAGAGTCTATGCTAAGTGACAGGCAAAATGATCTTTTTTTTAACCCTAAATCAGATCGTGTCACTCTGTTCAAAACCCTCCAGGGGCTTCTCATCATGCTTTGAACAAAATTCAAACTACTTACCCTCAAATCCAGCCCCTGCTCACCTGGTTCAACTCATTTTGTACCCTTCTCCCCTACTGCTCTTGTTCTCTCTCCATCTCCACCCGTTTGCTGGTCCTCCAATGCACCACAGGGCCTTTGCACTTGCGGTTCCCTCTGGCTCAAGTGCTCTCTCCCCTAAGATTTTCTCATGGCTGGCTCCTTCTCATTTCTCAGATTTGGCTTAAATGTCACCTCTTCAGAGAAGCCTTCCCAGAACACTCTCTTAAATAGACAGCTCCCCCACCCCCCAGCCTGTAGTGTTGAGGCATAACGCCCATCTTATTTCCACTGTCACACTGACAGGCTCAAGCGTCCGGTGCATTTGTTAACGTGGCTTTTATCTGCCCTGCCCCCACCCCCAGTCTGGAATTTCCCTGAGGGCAGGGATGGCATCTGTCTGGGTCACCAGTTTATCTTCAGAGCCTAGAATGGTGTCTGGCACATCGAGGGCATTTAGCATTCATAATGCTAAACTTTACCTCAGAGATGATGCACATCAGCTACATTTAAATGGTGTTACTTCCATATTGAAAATACTAATAATAGCGCCTAGAGCTGAACAGCGAAATGCTCCTTTGGGCTTCTAGAGCTATTAATGTTATTCAGGGAATGAATGTCGTCAAGATCCATCAGGTGTACCTACCAAGCAACTATACTGTTTGTGATACTTTGGGGGCTACAGTGAGGGGTCACCCTCAAAGAACGGAGTCTGAGAGAAAAAGAAACGAAGGCAAACTGGAATGTGAGCAATCAAATGGCGAGTGCCACAAGAAGCAGAGGATACTTCTGGGCCACAGGTAAGTGAAAAGGGTCTGAACACCCTTTCACATGGAATGAGGGTGAGAGGCCCTGGGAATATGCTTCTGGGCTTCTGGAATATGTTCCCTTCAAGAGCACTGGGACGCGTGTAGCAACAGTGGGTTATAGTTGTCACAGGGGCCGGCGGAGGGAAGGACACCGCTGCCATGTGGTCAGCTGGGGGCCACAGAGGTGCTGAACGTCCTCTGCACAATGAAGAGCCCACCACCCCAAATGCCAATGCAGAAATGGCTTACGCCTGTCCATCCGGAACACAGGGAGTGCCTTCGGGGACTTCTGGACTGACATGCTTAACATGCTGGTCACTAGGTAGTCGTTCCTGAGTTCTTTTTCTCCCCCTGAACTCTTTTTACCATTTCCACCTACCTGCTATACGTATCCACCAGGTCCGCAGCAGAAAGAAAACCCGAGTCCAAGCAAAGGATGGAGGGGAACAGCAAGACCCACCAAAATGTCTCCTCGGGGCCCTAGCAACATGGGCTCCAAAGCCCCAGCCCAAAAGAAAGGTGCCACCTGTGGATAATGCTCAGTTCCTGGCCATCAGACCGTCCCCAGTGACACCGACCTCCCGGGGAGGGGGGGGGGGTCTTTATTTGCATTTCTGAGTCGGCTCTACTGCATGTCCAGCAATTAGTAACACAAGAAGCTGATCCTGAATCAGTCTTCCCGAGTGGGGGTTGTTTCCCTAGAGTGGTGGTCTGGGGCCTCCAGCAGCAGGGAGCAAGGAGGTGCCAGGACTGGGCGGATGTGGAGCACTCAGGCCCCAGCTAAGGGAGTCCATCAGGCACAGCTCTGCCCTCTGCAGGTGGAACACGGATCAACATCATTCTGAGGTTTCCAGAGAAACTGGAAAATCCGATTTTTACTGAGATCTTTTGGTTTTTTTCTTTTCTTTTTTTTTTTTTTAAGTAATCTCTACCCCCCACTTGGGGCTCAAACTCATGAACCCTGAGATCAAGAGTCGCATGCTCCACCGACTGAGCCAGCCAGGCGCCCCAAGATCTTTTGGGTTTTCAATGTTGACCCCTAATTCAGTGGCTTTTTAAAATATTGGGGAGGCTGAAGCACACCCATCTGAGGCTGATCTGGGGCCCCTCTCCTAGCTTGCTCCTTCTGTACACTGAACCCCAGAATCTGTTTGTTTGCAGGCAACTGATGCTCCCCGAGGGTTCAGGAAATTTAAAAACAGAAGTTAAATATGCTGACAACCGGGCAAGGTTCTCAAGAAAGAGCAGGACGGGGGATAGGGGGATAGGCTTGGGGACCCAAGGAGGGCCCGCCAAGGGACTGACACTGGTTTCACTGTGTTCTTCCTTGGTGAAAAATTCCCAGCATCTCCCTAATTCTTATGACATCAAATCCCAAGTTCCTGTCCAGGCTCTCCGAAACGTGAGCCCACCCCACCTCAGTAGCCTTATATTTCATCGTGTTCCTGTGTCCCTTCCCCATTCTAGTTGGGCCAGCGTTCCTCGGGCTCCTTCAAAGTCAAAACCAGTGATCCCCTCAGCCAGACCGCCTCTCTCCCTATGTAAATCCCACCCACCCTTCAAAGCCTGGCTCACCCCCCACCTCCTTTAGGAAGCCTTTGTGACAGTAAACAGGAAAATGCTTGTGAGCTCAAGGGCTCGTGCCTAGGAGACCTGGGTTCAAATCCCACCTCTCCCATCAAGCAGCTGGATGATTTACCAAACTTCTTTGAGCTTCAGAAGATGATCAGTCATAGTGCCTACCTTACAGAAATTGTGAAGGATTAAGGGAAATGATACGAATAAAATACTTAACTCCCAGTAAGTGCTCAATTAATGTGAACTCTTATTCCTATTACGGTTGACCTCCCTCTCCTCCCATAAAGTGTTCCGGCCTTACACTGTCTCTCTCTTCTGGGCAAAGCACCAATGGACTCCACACGGCCCACATTTGCTCAGAACGAGCCCCGGGCATTGGTCTACCTCAGTTCCTAGCTTGGCTTTAACGCTTCTTAAAGTTCCAGGGCCATGTTGGATAGAACCTAGAACTCACAAAGACCCAAGTGGACACTAAATCCGAGAGTTGCCTAAGTAACCCAACCCTGGCTCTGAACCGACTCCGTAAAAGTCCCTCTCTCAAGCAGCGGCAGAAATCCTTGCTGGGAAGAGACACAGGTAGCCAGGGACAGAGAGAAACAATCGCTCCCCCTCCCCCACAGGGCCTCCTTCACATTCCTTGCTCCAGGCTCCTCACCTTTCCTTCTGATGCTGGAGATGATACACGAAGCCAGTCAGTGTCCACTCTCTTCACACGAGTGTATGATGCGGGGAACCTGGACAAATGGGCCACACAGCAAGCGTCATTTTGGCTGGGATTAAATGGGAAGCCCGTGACTCTCAACAGGAGCCAAGATGGCTTCAGGATGGCTTCTGCAGGCCCTGTCCGCCCAGTGTTACTACACCTCAGATCAGGCCCATTCATCCTGCCCCAAGCACCATGGCTGGGATCCCCTGGTCACTGGTGCCAGAGGGCTTGTCCCACTTGGCACTTTCACTTTTCTCTGGGCTTAACAAGAATCAGAGTAAAAATACCTTCGTGCAATTTACACCCCGCCCCCCTTCCAGTTACTCGTGCTTTGAGTGACTCCCTCCCAAACAAAAACCGGGGCACAGAAAAATGTGACTCCTGGAATGCCATACCCTTTAAAAAGCAAGCAAGCAACCAAACAAACAAAACCCTTGAGAGGTCCCAACTAGATGATCCCAAGGAGTGGCCTCCTCAGCCTGAGGGCTGAGCCCCACCGATCCCGCCGGACAAGTATACACTACTCCCAAAGCACCAAGCTGCAAAGTTAGCAGCAGAGGCAGGCAAGAAAAAAAAGCACAACATGGGCCTGATCTTCGAGACCTTATTCTCAAACTGGAAAAGATGCGGGGAAAATGAAGAGACCCCAAAGGTTAAGAAGCCCGTGTTCCAATACAAGTAAGTCCCGCCTCAGTGTTAGCAGCCCTCAAAAGTTCTCCGGTAACGGTTGGCTTCCAAAAAAAAAAAAAAAAAAACCGCAGAAAAGGCAGGAGAACAAACGTGAGGACGCGGGTCCCAAGGACCGAGACTACCCTCGATTCCCCCCACCCCCCGCCCCCAGTTCGGGAATCGCAGCTTCTCCCACAAGCTTGGGCCTCTCCAACTTGCTTCTTCCCCTCGCCCCGCTGACCCCCAACCCAAGCTCAGGACCCGGGGCTTCCTGTGGGTGAGTCCCGCTCTCCCAGTCAGACTGGAAATGGTATTATTGCACCCGTAGCAGAAACCTCAGGCGAGACTCTTGACAAGTGAAGCCAAGGAGCCGGTCACCAGTGGGGCGGAGGCGGTGCAGCCCTGCTCAGGATTAAGTGGGTGAGTGCAGGCGGAGCAGGGGGAGGAAGCCCCGGCCCTTGGCGTGTGGCTCGAACAGGAGAGGGCACCTTCAGTTCCCAGAAGCGGGATGCCACTGCCAGCGTAGCCCAGGGGAGTGCCTCGAGTGACCTCTGCTGGAACAGCGGCCTGAGGGAGCCCCGGAGCGGGTGCCAGAGCGCCCCCTAGTGTGGCGCCAGGGCCCGAGGAGGTGCGGCACGGTCTAGGGAGAAGAGAGAGGACCAGGGGGAGAGCCCAGGCGCATCTCTGGAAAAGCTGACTCTGCAGGGGCAGGTGGGGGTGGCCCGGGTCTCCCGCGCATCCCCTCCCCGGCGCCCACCCAGGGCCCCGCGTGGCTCTGTCTGCAAGGTCCCGGAGCCCCCCTAGGCCGGGGCGGCCAGCGGGCCGAGACGCAGCGGGACGTGGCTGCCTGCCTGCGAGCAGAGCGGGGGGGGCATTTTACCGGGAGTCTAAGGAGCCGCTGCGTCTCCACTCCGGCCTCCGCTGGGGTAGCGGGACTGCTACGGCAGCCGCAGTCGCAACGGCCAACGCTCCCGGTCGCTCCCTGCGACTGTGGCCCGCGAGGCCAGCTGTTGAATGGCTCGCGCCGAGCGCACCCGGCGCAGAAGCGTCCCCGCCGCATCCAAGTCGGCGACGCAGGCGCGCGCCCCGGTGCCAACGCCCCGTGCGCCCCTCGCCCGGCTGCGGCCCTGGCGAGCTCGCCGCGGCTGCTTCCCGGCCCCGTGCCCCCGGCTCCCGGCTGCGGGCTCGCCCGCCCGCCTGCTCCCCTCGGTGGGCTCTCGCCAGACCAATTGCCTCCCCTGGCCGGCTCCGCCCCCTCGCTGCCATCCCTCAACTGGCCCGCAGGACCAATGGCAACAATGGGCTAGTCCCGCCCCCTCGATTCCCCCGGGGCCAATCGCCTTCTCCTGAGGACCCATTCAAGTAACCCCGCCCCTCTCGTGCGGCAAAGCTGCAGCCAAAGTTTATCCCACTGCGCGGTTGCTCCTGACGATGGCGAGGCTGTGCCCAGGCCCCCGCACGAAGTTACACTGATTTCAAGGCTGCAACTCACCTGGTCTGCCGAGCCCCCGCGCGACCTATTCTTTTGAATGAGTGAGTATTTAAAGAGCTAATGAGAGAGGTGCTGTTGTCCTCCTCATCCCCCAGCAGGGCTGCCGCGAAACGTGCACCCGCCTGGCCAGAACTTGCACATCACAGGGTCAGCAAGAATCTCGAAGGTCATCCACTGACCCTGTCCCCGCAGTGCTGCGTGTTGCGTTTGTGTTTTGTTGTTGTTGTTTGTCCTATGTACAGGGGCTCTGCCCTCTAGGCTGGACGACTTCCAGGGACAAGGACTCACTGGCACCACGAACAGCCCCTTGGGTAGCACGAGGCTGAGCGAAACCGGCCCCCTGGTAACTTCTGCCCCCTTGAAGCCAACAAAGGCAGCTTTGCCCCTCTTCCCACAAGGGCCCAACAATTTGAAGACAAATCTGGCCCCACAGTTCTTCCAGGCTCTGTTGCTCCAAGGAACCGAGTTCAAGGCTCTTCTTTGAGTTTAAGCCAATTCCTTTATTATCTTTCAAAAGTGGAAGGTGGGAAATAAGTCTCTCCTCCCCCCTAACCGCCAGCCGCGAGGCACAGACCCTTCTGCATAGAGCAGACTGGGACAGTCACGTCCCTTGTCTAGACAGTAGATTTTTCTACTCCAGCTCCCTAGGATGGCATTTGCTTTCCTGACTGCCATATCATAGCTGACAAATATTAGATTTACTGTCAACTAACCCCCGGGGCTATTTCTCACTGCTGCTGCGAACACATGGCTCCGTTTTCTACTTGATTAGCTGGTAAATGTCATTGGGTTTTGTGGGGGGTGCTACTTTCACTGTTTTCTATCAAGACCGCTTTGCCAGCTCATTCTGTACTTAATCTCTCTCCATTTGTCTTGCTCCCACCGCCAAGCTCAGGCCCTCACCCTGTGTGCACAACTGCCAAAGAGTCTCCTCACAGAGCACCTTACCTCTAGGCTTGTACCCTCCTGGGTGGCCTGCCAGGGCTCCTGTCCTCATCCATCTGACACCAGAAGCCACAGTGGTCTCTAAAACACAAAGATAATCCTGTCACCCCACCCAGCCTAAAAGCCCACCCCCAGCTTCAAATCCTTTCCTATTCCTTTTCCAGCTCCCCCCCCCCCTTTGCCTCCAGGATGAGATCCAGAACCCCCGCAGAGCATGTGAAACCCTTGGTGATCTGGTCTCACCTGCCCAGCCTCATTCCTAGCTGTTTTACCCCCATCACAGAGCACTCAATACTTCAGATCCACTGAACTTCCTGCTGTTTCCCAAATGAGCCACAGTCTCCAACCACTTCTATGCCTTTGATACAAAGTCTGGAATAAACTGCTCCCTACCCTCCTAATCCTGACCCATTGATGTATTTGACTCATTCATTGAATACATATCCTGAGCACCTACATGTGTCAGGTATGGAGGCATAACAATGTGATTTTTAAAAATCTGACTTGATCCCTTCATCAGGTGCTTCCGAGTAGAGGGTAATGACGCTGCTTCCATTCCCATTGCCACACAGACATCAGGCAGCTATTTGTAATGATTGGACTTCAGATTCCTCCAGGCAGCTGAGACTGGGATTGTCTTCCTGCGGAGTGTCATTAAATAATATTCAGACTCAGTCCATTAAGGTTGGCAGTTTGAAGGCCAGAGGTCACGGCCCTTTCCTTCATTTCCTTCACTTTAATTTACAAAACCCCGACTTGTTAAGATGTTCTGTATGTGAGAGAATATGTGCTTATTGCGTATGTTGGGTTCTTTTCCCTTTTACTTTTTAAGATCAGAATAAATCAAACCAACACGCTGTACACTTTACACTTACACGATTTTTTTTTTTAAGATTTTATTTATCTGACAGAGAGACACACAAAGATTTTATTCATTTGACAGAGAGCGAGAGAGGGAACACCAGCAGGGGGAGTGGGAGAGGAAGAAGCAGGCTCCCAGCTGAGCAGGGAGCCCGATGCGGGGCTCGATCCCAGGACCCTGGAATCATGACCTGAGCCGAAGGCAGATGCTTAACGCCTGAGCCACGCAAGCACCCTAAACTTACACAATGTTATATGTCAATTATATCTCAAACAATTAGATAAACAGATCAGGATAGCAGTTTGTCATATACCATAGGCATTGATGTTTCTGGATCTGAAGAGAAAGCACATGAACAGGACTGACTGTATGTTATAAAAATTAATCCAGGGACACCTGGATGGCACAGTCAGTTAAGCATCTGACTTGGTTTCAGCTCAGGTCGTGATCTTAGGGTTGTGGGATCGAGCCCTGTGTCATGCTCCATGCTCAGCAAGGAGTCTGCTTGGGACTTTCTCTCCGTCTCCCTCTGCCCCTCCCCTCCTCAGATAAATAGATAAATCTTTAAAAAAATGAATCCATTGGAATCATGTAACTACAGAACTTCAGTGTTAGAAGGGACTTTTAAGTTAATTTAATCAAACTCCACCTTAGATGCTAGAAACTACTATGTGGGCAGTTTTTCGGGTTTTTTACAAAGTTCTTAGCTCCTCGGCCTCTGAAAACAGGCCGTGCTCTTACTGTTAAAATATTGTCTCCACACAACTAAGGCATTTGAAGAGCACCCAGAATGCTTCTCTGCCCACTGTTTTCCTCTAGGGTGAGATGTGTCCTCAGGATCTCCCCTTTCAAAATGCAAACCCCACTTGGAAGAGCCACATGCTAACATTTTTTCATTATTAACATTTAGCACAAGGAAAGCAGCATAGCTTAATAAAAAGAAACGTTTTAAGGTGCAGTTTTTAGAATGGTTTCACTTATGCTGTCATATTAGATCCTCAGAGTGACCTGTGCAAAATCTCTTGATTTCCATTTTATGGGGGAGGAAGCTAAGACTCATCTCCGTTAAATCGTTCTTCAGGGTATTCAAATCCCAGTTCTGCTATTAACCTCGGGCAAGGGACCGGGTCACTCTAGGCCTCAGTTTCCCCATCAATAAAATCAAATGAGATGCTTTCCAAGGTTTCTTTCAGCTCTGTCTATAATCTTTCCACTCCTGCTGGCTGAGATCAGGACACTGGGACCCTGGGCATTTTTGTGGTGGCAGCAAATAATGGTGGCACCAGAAGTACATTTTGGAAAGGAGAAGCTCCTGCATGAGGGCAGTGAAAACTAGAAAGAAGAAAATCTGAGCAAGGAAAGACAAGACGCCCTGAACTCCAAGCTTACCTATTCCTCAGGTCTCTAATGCAACCACTTCAATTCAGATTTTGAACGAAAAATTCCAACCCATTTGCTCTAACGCTGAAAGAATCTTCTATGTAAAGCTTAATTAAAGTCTGCTTTGGTGGGCGCCTGGGTGGCTCAGTTGGTTAGGCGACTGCCTTCAGCTCAGGTCATGATCCTGGAGTCCCAGGATCGAGCCCCACATCGGGCTCCCAGCTCAGCGGGGAGCCTGCTTCTCCCTCTGACCCTATCCCCTCTCATGCTGTTTCTCTCTCTCTCTCTCTCTCAAATAAATAAAAATAAAATCTTTAAAAAAAAAAAAAGTCTGCTTTGGCGAACTGTTTTATCATATTCAGATAAAAATTACCACACTCCATTCCATAAGCCTATTGTGCATTCCCCCCCTGCTTAGTCCATATAACAAAAGGGCAGATAAGGAACTGCAGCCTAAGGAAGTCATTTGGAAGGAAAACCAACAGGCAAATGGATGCATTCTAATAATTTATGCAAGTCGTGGGGTGCCCCACTACCCCTCCCCCACCCATTCATTTGTTGAGAGCATGAGATGCAGCTATTCTAATGACTCTGTGTTTGCTTAATCTTACTAAGCAAAGACAGGCTTTATGCCTAATATAAAAGGAATTTAAGATGCCAGGTGAGAAGTGGTGATCTTTAAACTGGTTGCGCAAGAAACCAAAAGCTAATTCCTAAGATGATAAGCCTACTTAATAGTCTGTTCTTTTTGGAGCGTTTAAAAGCATGTTTAATTACAGTAGAATCCGTTTTCAATTACAGACGTCTAATCATTTTTTTCAGTAAATGGCTCTGAAGTCAGAATAAATAACACTAACCTACTTCACTGAGTTCTTATGATGATTAATTAATTGGTTTTAAAGGGTGTCAGAAGTTTTATAAAACAGAGGCCGAAGAATCAAGAGACCCAGATTTAGTCCAGGCTCTGCCTTCAGTAGCTCTGTGGCCTATGGTGATTTATTTTCCTTCCCTGGGGCTCAGTTTCTCCATCTGTAAGATGAGGGGGAATTGGGCTAGACTATCTCTCTATTTTTGGTCTAACATTCTAACACTCTAGGATTCCCCATCATTATACATACACTTTTTTTTTTTTTTTTTTTAGTAGCTTAAAACAGCAATCATCCACTTTTAGTTTTCCTCAAATTGGATTCCGGGAAAAATTTCCACAATGTCCTGCTGTTCCCCCCACACGGTCACTCAGGTATACTGACCCCCACAAAACTGTCCCAATATGAATAGAGGAAAATACGATAAAGATACAGAAAGAAGGGAAAAAATAAAATCTAGACTTCCACATTCATGAACAAGGGAAGCCAGTCCTTAGAAATTGCTGGCCCACACTTTCCTCTTCCCACCTTTCTTTCCATGCTTTTCTTTTCCAAAGATTTTATTACTCTGCCTCTTCTCTGAAATGAATGTGGGGCCCTCATTGCCAGCTCTGAAAACACTATGACTATTTATAAGAGGACTTGAGAAAAGGTATCTTTATTTATTTATTTTTAAAGATTTATTTATTTTACTTTAGAAAGAGAAAGAGAGAGAGAGCATGTGAGCGGAGAAGGGGCAGAGGGAAAGAAGCAGACTCCCCACTGAATGCGGAGCCCCACGCGGGGCTCAGTCTCAGGACCCTGAGATCATAACCTGAGCGAAAACCAAGGGTCAGACACTTAACTGACTGAGCCACCCAGGTGCCCCAAGAAATGGTATTTTGAAAGGAAAATGACATTATACAGAGAGGAAGAAAAGCAGAACACAAAACTGTATGTTCAATATAATCTCAACCAGGCTAAGAAATAGTGCATCTA